TGACTGAGCAAGACTTCACCTCAAAGAAACAAAAACAAACCAAACACTAAGGCATCAACCAAGGTGATGGCATAGGGCTGGGGTGCCTTGCCAGACACGTCCTAAGGCACAATTCCAGACCAAACGGAAGTTCCGAAGTTCCCCAGAGCTCAGGCCTTGTGTTGTGCATCTTAAAAAAACTGGTTCCAACCACATAGTATTTAGGATCGAGTGTCCCAGCAAGCTGTGTTTCAATAAACCCGGATGCTTCTGAGTGTGTAAAGGCTTGAGAGGTCTATATCACTGATACTGGCTTCAGTTTCCTGTTGATGCCCATACTGGCACCTGTATCTCACCCTAGGTGGCAGCCTCAGGTCTCCCAAGCTCATGGCTGGCTCCACCTGCACCTGCCTTTCCCAGGCTACTGAGAACTTACATCTGAACGTACAGCTGAGCTCAGCACCTTCTCCCTAGCCTCTCCTCTTCCTGGGCTCCCTAACCCGAGAAGAACATGGCCAGTCATTTACTAATTGCTCACCATGTGCCTAGCACTCACAGGAACTCCATATACATTAACTCCAAACCAAGGTAGATATTAGAATTTCCATTCTATAAATAAGGCTATCAAGACTCCAAGAATGGAAGCAGTTTGCCCAAGGTCACCTAGCTAGCAAGGATTGAAACCCAGGCCTGGGGCCTGCAGCACAGTCCTTTCACTCTGCCACACTACCTAGCATCATGCACCCAGCAGACAGAGCCAGAAACTCACTCACCGTCTAGGACCTGGATTTATTGCATTTGATATTTGTACCTTTTTACAGAGCGGATCTATGTATTTCATCAGCTGTGAACAACAACAACAAAAAGAGTATGTAGGAATTCCAAAATCCTGTAATGCAAATCATGCTAAGAGTCATATTTTGGAAGATTGTTTTCTGGGTCAAGACCTTACACTAAGCGCCTTCCCTCCTGGCCGTAGGGAGGGACTTAGCTTGTCCCAGGCAGCTCAGCTTTGCAGAAAAGGAGCATCTCCTATCCATTCCACAGGCAGCCACTTTCTCCAGTCCATACTTCAGAGACAGAGGCACCCAGCTGCTGTCTCTCCATTCCTGAGGGTGCAGTGACCCCATGTGGCCAATTCCAAATGTAGCCACTTGATGGTCATTGGGCTGTGACTGCTATTTTGTCACCATTTAAACAATTCTCCAATTGCTGTTTTTTTGCTGGAAGTTTTGCTTTCATTCCACTGAGGAGGAGAGGCAACAGAGGCAGCTCAGACTGGGGAGGGCGGGGCTGAGCGTGCAGGGACAATGTCCTCCTAACACTTGGGCCGCAAGAACCCTCCAGCTCTGAAGGTGGGCTGAGAGCGCCCCCTTCAGGCCACATTGGAGGGGCAGCAACAGGTGATTGTGATGGCTGGCCTAAAGCCTTGTAGGCCCCAGCCTGGCTGCAGCATTGTAGAGAAAAGAGAGAGAGAGAGACAGATGAGACCAAGGAAAGTGCACTGAGTCAGCCCCAGACTCAGGAGGCGGAAGTGGGGGGCTGTCATGTGAGAGTTGGAGGGCCCATGGGATTATCAAAGTCATGCCCACATTTTATAAAGACAGCAAGGGCCGGAGTGTGACAAGTTCTCTTCTTATGGCCACCCACTAATATGTGTGAGCCAGTGAGAAACTGCATCCAGCTGTTGCCAATATATACCGAGTCACAGGGGCTTCAGCTAGGTAGGGAATGTCTTTCTCTTATATAATCTGAAATGTCTCAGAAGCAGGTGGTCCAGGGTTGCTATGAAGGCCCCACCATGTCATGAGAGACCCCAATGCTGTCTTCTGCCTCACCAGTCCTAAAACATGGCATTTATCCACAAGGCTACATCACGGTCATGATGTCTGCTTCAGCTTGCCCATCACTCAGGGGTCCCAGGCAGGGAAGAAGAGGGAAAGCTCAAAGGCCAGATGTCAGAGGCATAAGCTTCCCTTTCAATAGCATTTCCTGAGGCTTCACCCAATAACTTCCTTTTATTGTATGGACCATCAGAATTGTAGTTTGTAAGCTGAGCGTATTCCTAGAAGGAAGGGGTGAATGAAGGTATAGATTTCTAAAGGCCTTACCCATCTGTACTGGGGATAATAACAGCTACCATTTCTCTGGAGCTTACTATGTTTATATGAATTTATCTATCCTCACAATAACCCAGGCAGATAGAGTTGTTATCCCATTTTGTAGGTAAGGAAAGTGAAGTTTGGTGAACTCAGGTTAACTGAACCACACCTGGTAAGGGCTGGGGACAAAGCCTGAACCTAGCTCTGACTGAAATCCTGTGGTCTTCACGTTACAGCACCCAACAAAGGGCCAGAGAAACAGGACTCAGGCTTTAAAAGCTAAGTTACAAAGCTGCTCTCCCTTGGTGTGGTAACCACCAATACTGCCTTGTAAATGGAGAAAGTAGCATGAAAACATGCGTTTTGCGGAAGGAGCCGCGGCCGCTGTCACCATTATTGGGAAGGACGGAGCACTGTCCTGGGTCTGTATCCAGTAAGCAAGTTTACCCAAGAGTTCATTTCCCCAGACCCTTAATCCATTCTCTGACCTGCTGTCACACTTACAGACTCAAGGAGAAACCTTCCACAGAACCATGGAAGGGACGTGGTTGTGGGGCGCGGGCAGCAGCGCCAGGGCTTGAGGGGGAGCTTGGCTCGGCGGGGGTGGGGTGGGAGCACCACCGAGGAGGAGGGGTCGGGGGTCTTCCCGGAATGAACGCCCAGAGCAAGCCCAGCCTCTCCACAGACGGGAGATGCCGAGGCGGAGAAGAAGGCGCAGTCCCACCCCAGGCCCCGCAGCGCCATAGGGTGGGCAGGACCCCGCCAGGAGGAGCTGCGCTTCTGACGTTCCCTTCCAGCCAAACTTCAACTGCAACTCCTCTGACGGCCCATTTACGCCATCGCGAGTTTCCTTGGCGACGTAGACAGGCCCAGGACGCGTCTTCAAGAAGAAAAGGCCACTGGGGGCCCGCTGGAGCCTCGCTGTGGTTCCAGGCCCAGCGCCCTGGGCGGAATGTGGGGGGGTGCTGGCCTGTGTGTGTGGGGTCCATCCCCCCAACACCAGACCGTCCCTTTGCGCTGCTGCGTCATGAGGGCCTCTTCCCACGGCAGACACGCGTCTCGTGGACCTGGGGCCCCTTTGCTTTTCCGCCGGCCCCTCCCTGCACCTGCGCTGTCGCCGCGTTTTCTGCTGGTCCCCTGCGCCCCACCCGCCGCGCTCTGGCGGGGAGGCAAGCGCCCGGCTCCTGTCTGAGGGTGGGTGTGCGCGGGGTGCTGATGGCAGGTGGGTGGGGGCGCGGGTGAGCGAGGCCATGCGGATGCAGAATGGATAGCGGGGCCAGGGGTGCAGGCTCTCAGTCGAAAGTCCACGGAAGCTCGGCTGGAGGTCACGTCACCGACTCGCTTTCGCACGCACTCTCCAACCCTGGAATGCTGCGTCACGGCGGGGTGCGCGCAGGTGCGCGGGCGTGGGCTGGTGCGGGCGGGGCACTAGCGCGTGTGACCGCGGATCCCCGAGGGTCCCGCCCCGCCCCCGCGGGCCCCCCACGCAGCCTCCCGCCCCTGGCGCTGCAGGCGGCCGGGGCCGCCCCGCTGATTCCAAGGCAGCTGCAGTCTTTGTTTGTTTTTGCATGTTCTAGAATACCAGCTTTAATCCTTTTCAAACATTAATATAAGAAGCCAAATTGTAATGATACAGCAAAATGAGGCCACTAGTATTAATACAGGTAGGAAAGGTCCACATCCAGGTGGTACTGACATCAGGGAAATTTCCAAAACCAGTTGCTGCTGCCTAAGAGTGGTTGCCACTGACGAAAGCTTGAAATAACCTGTATTCACAGAAGGGGTATTGGCATTGCTGCATGTCATAATTGCGACTTCTTGCAACAACTCAGCAAGGAACAAGGCAGCCCAAAAATGTAGAATACGTGATTCAAGAAACATAACTAGCAGGCCGTTTCCATATCGTCGCATCATTTGATCATGAGTACACTTCACAAACGCGTCATATTGTTCTGCAAGTTTTGTGTTCAATATTTTTTTCATATTCTTCTCGAACTTTCTCTTCATGTTCTTTCAACAAACGTTCACAGATCATCCCAACCTGCAGTAGAGTAAATAAGGGCTGTTCTTTTTTTTAATGGTGAGGATGCTGCAGATGAAGTCCCTGGTGAATCTGGTCCACCAGGCTGTGCATCAGAAGTACAACATGGATCTGTCTGTTGGAAACGTAGCTAAGTGTCTTCTCTTCTGCATTCGTTTATACTCTTGTTTTATGTTGTACAGAATTCGTTCTTCTCCTGCACGGCGCCGGACCACCAAAAGTTACCCACTTAACACTTGCGTTTCTGGTCTCCTCAACTTCCCTATCCATGTAGGCATGGACACACAGCATTTGGTTTCCACTTGAAACCCTACCTCATTGTGATTGTTATGTAATAAAGTTTTTATAAGATAAGTAAAACTTTTCTGAAACCATACAACGTAATTGATTTTACTCTTTAATGCTTCTGGTTGTAGAGAAAAAATGTCTTAATCTATTCTTTTTTGTCAGATGTGCTTCGTCAAAGGCTGTCGTGTTTATTCATTTTTTGAGGATGCATAATTTAAATAGAAGAAAACATGCAAATCTAAACAGTACAACTAGGCCTGGCGTGGTAGCCCACACTGGTAATTCCAGCTACTTGGGAGGCTGAGGCACGAGAGTCACTTGATCCCAGGAGGTCCAGGCTGCAGTGAGCTATGGTTGCCCCACTGCACTCCAGCCTGGGCAACAGAGTGAGATCCTCTCTCTTAAAATACATAAGCCAATAAAGAGTACAACTAGATTAACTTAAAAAAAAAAAAAAAAAAAAAAAAAAGAAGGACACCACCACGCACGGATGCGAAGGGGCACGGGCTGCTGGAGCGGCCCGGAGGCGGCGCAGGGCTCGCGGGTGGCGGCCGGAACGGGTTCCGGGACTGACCCCCGCGCGGCCTAACGCGACCCAAGGCGGCGGAGGAGCGTCACCTCGCGGCTCCGGCGTCGCCTCACTCCATGGATTTCTTTGGGCAACCCAGACCAGAAGATAATCAGTCAGTAGTGAACAGAATGCAAAAGAAATACTGGGAAACTAAACAGGTCTTTATCAAAGCAACAGGAAAAAAGGAGGATGAGCACGTGGTGGTCCTGGCATCTGATGCTGAACTGGATGCTAAACTTGAGGTTTTTCACTCCATTCAAGAGACATGCACTGAACTTCTGAAGATAGCCGAGAAATACCAGCTAAGACTCAATGTTATATCAAAGGAAGAAAATGAGCTCGGGCTCTTTTTAAAGTTTCAAGCGGAACGGGAACTAGGTAATTTTGGTTTCACCATGATCAGTAAAAGATAATCAGTCCATCATCTTTTACTATTTGTACAGCTGTGTCCAGGATTAAAAAAAAAAATCGTTTAGATGTACAAAAAAGATGAATCCTTTGTCTTGAAGGTCTCCAGTATTTTTAAGTATAAAATATTTTAAAGTATTAGCCGCTCAAGAAAGAGGCCTGAGAACAGACAAACTTAAAGCTAGAGTGTACGACACAGTGCCACCTGAATATCAACCAGAGGTGAAGCAGCTGGCTGTGTAGGTCAGCCGGGAAATTGGTGGAGGATAGGATCTTCCATTTGGCCTCTTTGACAGAAGGACTTCCAACTCTGCCTAGGGCACGTGACAGTGGAGAGACATCTAGGGTGGGCGTGCTCCGCAGTGACTTGGCCTATGCTTTGTTGTCTTGAAGCCATTAATCCTGGGATCTCAGCCAAGCCTTGTCAATGTCGCTGATGTATCCCAAAGCTTTGGAAAGCAGGGAATCCCTGCCTGCAGCTCATAACGCGAGCACTCCAGTCCTCTGCAGTACTGAGGATGTCCAGGAGGTGGCGCAGAAGACAAGGGTTCGCCTTATCCACAGCTTGTCCTTTAGAAGGAAATTTGACCAAAATGATAGCTCCCTCCTTTCCTTCCTTCCATCTTCTCCTTCTCTTCTGTCCCTCTCTTTCTTCTTTATTCCTTGAATCATCAAGTATCCATGAAAGCCTGAAAGCGGAGCTCTGTGCAAGATACTGAGGTGATGAATTAGGACAGGGTCCCTTGCCTTTGAGGAACCTGGAGTAGAATAAAGAAGTAGAATAATAAACAACTGAAATACCGCAGGTGGCACAGGTTTTGAGGAAACAGTCAGTGTCGGTCTTGAGCAGCAGCATCGCAGCCTGCAGGTTCTGGAGTCAGAACAACCTGTCTCGTCTGTCTTCTGGTCCCGATTCCACACTTGCTGCAAGCTTGTGCAAACGCCTTTATCTGTAAAATGGGGATTACAATAGATTGCCCTAAGACGCGCTCATAAGGTTGGTATAAAGGAGTTAACATACCTAAAACATTTAGCACATGTAAAAAAGCCCCCAAAACATTATTTCAAACATAACTCCTTCATTCTTGCATGCATTCATTTATTCTATAGACATTTGTAGGCCAACCGTGTGCAGAAGGCTGTCCTTGTTATTATGGGAGGTACAAAGTAAATAGAAAGAATACTCCCATGAGTGGGGATTTGCAGTCAGGGTGAACAGTTCTTCAACATTTTCTTGAACGCTTTTCTCCATGACAGTCGAAATCAGCCTGGACTGAAAAGAGAATAAAGCAGCCCAGTTGATAATCTGGCTGGGAGGACAGACTCTGAAAAAGCCAGCTGCAGCATCCACAGAAAACGCCATTTCTCCCGAAGTCAACCTGTAGCTGGAAAATGCCAGGATGATCTCGCTGTGACCATGGCTTCCTCACCAATCCTGCCCCAGATGTGCCTTGCTGCGTCCCCCTTTTACTAGGAATCCCCAAATGCCTAGCCCTCCTTGATCTTGCTGACACCCAAACCATAGTCGATCCCACTTCTCCTAAGACTGCCTTGGAGACAGCAGTCGGCAGAGGAAGGACACCTTTCCCAGACCCTCATCAGAGTCTCCAGGGGGAGCCCAGGTCTTCTAGAAGGGGCTTCTTCTCTCCCCCCCGCCAAGTGTGCAGCTTCCCAGGCTCTAGAGAGCATCCTCCCTTGCCGAGTTGTGCCAGTCAGCCAAACCGAGGGGTGCATGCTGGCCCTCGGCAGATGGAAACTCACTTTAGCAGGCCCCCTGATAGTGGGGTGCGGGCCTCCACCTCCTCAGAGGTCCCCACGGGAAACCTTGGCAGGGAGGAAAGCAAGGGAGGAACAGGACCCGCCTGGAATCCTGACTTCAGCAAAGGTGGTGGAGGAAGGCTCATGGCAGTGGCTGCAGTTATGTGAATCAGATGCAGCCCCGGCAGGGCTTCTGGTGCCCACACTGGAGAACCCCAAGTGCCCCTTGCGCTGTGAGCATCCAGTGAGACATTGGGCATGCACAGCCTTATGGTAGGCTGTGGCGTTGAACCACTGAATGAGAGAAGGTCTCTGCTAGAATCTGCCCTCCCCTCCTTCCCTCCCTCCTTCCTTCCTTCCCTCTCTCTCTCTCCCTCCCTTCCTCCCTTCCTTCCCTCCCTCCCTCCTTCCTCCCCTCCTTCCCTCCCTCCTTCCTTCCTTTGCTCCTTCTCCCCCTCCCTTCCTTCCCTCCCTCCATCCTTGCCTCCCTCCCTTTCTCCCTCCCTCCTTCTTCCCCTGCTTCCTTCCCTCCATCCTTCCTTCCTTCCTTCCTTCCTTCCTTCCTTCCTTCCTTCCCTCCCTCCCTCCTTCCTTCCTTCCCTCCCTCCCTCCATCCTTCCTTTCCTTCCTTCCTCCCTCCCTTCCTTCCACCTTCCCTCCCTCTTTCCCTCCCTCCTTCCTTGCCTCCCTCCCTCCCTCCTTCCTTCCTTCCTCCCCTGCCTCCCTTCCTTCCTCCCTTCCTCCCTCCCTTCCTTCCACCTTCCCTCCCTCCGTCCTTTCCTCCTTTCTTCCTTGTTTCCTTTCTTCCTTTCTCCCTCCCTCCTTCCTTCCTTTCACAAGCATCTTTATGCAGGAACTGTGTTGAGCATTGGAGTCACAGATCAATGCCTCTGGCCAGTCCCAGTATCCCCAGGTTTCTGAATATTTCATTATGACTCAATGACAGTGGAGGGACAATCTCCCAGGTGGGGTGGCCTCTGGGGGCAGGTAGCACCTGCTCAGCCTTGTGCATGGATTTGAGAACAGCCTAGTGTTCCATTTCTGGGACCTGGGACAACATACAGATCTGGGTCTCTGTAGGCCTGTGAGGCTGGTTCCTCTCAGCTGGTGCCTTGGTTATTTGCTGGGCAGTTGGCGACTGCTCCTTCAGGCCACAATGCATGCCACCAGGCCCATGTTAGGGGTCTTAGGTCTCAGGGGTCTGTGGGATACCACACCCATCACTCTACCTGGAAATAGAGGGGTGTGAGACTCAGCACACTCTCCTTTCTGGCCAGACTGTGGGGGTCTCCACCTCCTCCCCTAGAAATAAGGGCACAATATGTGTGGTGCTAGGAGTCACAGCCCCCACCTCAAGACCAGGACGAGGAAGGAAAGGGGCCCTAGGGCATGGAGAAATGCAAGACTCCCACCTCCCCAGCACCCACCCCACCCTTCTCCTTCTGCCCAGCCCTGAGCCCTCCCTCCCTACAGGGAGTGCCAGCTGGGTGCAGGTGCTCACCCCACATACACTGTGCTGAATCTTCTGGAAGCTCCGGCACTGTCTGGCCTGGATCCACCCTGTGGAGGCCATGCACTCTATGAAAGGGTGGTGGCTGAGGCTGTGTGAATCAGAAGCAGTGGTCCTGCCTGAGACTGTGGTCAGGCCAGAGGCAGGGATCCAGGAGGCCTGGGGCCTAGCATGGGCCCAGGTTAGTCTGTGAGCTTGGCAGTTCTCTCCTTTGCTTTGAGTTCCAGTAACAGGCTGGGTTGCTGTTCAAAAATTTCCCTTTGGGAACCCAGACACTTCAGCCTGCAGAGCTCAGAATTTAGGGCCTGGGAAGCCAGATGCTCCAAGTGCGCTCCCGGGAACTGGAGTCAGCACGTCTTGGTTTCCAGATCCACGGGCTTTCTACTGGGGACAAAGTGTCATGCAAAACTGCTTGATCCCAAGTGCCTCCTGCATCCTGGAGCACAGCATCCTATTCTTGTAAAGTGGTGCCTGTGAGCGGGCACTAGGCCTTTAACAGCCATGCCAATTTCCTATACGATCAGAAGTGCCTGTCTAGTTTAGCAGGTGACATGCGTCTGCCATCACAGCCCCTGCTGTGTCTTTCACGCTGGAGGTGCTGGCCACTGCTGACAAAGCCAACCCTTCATGAGCCCTGTAATAGTGCTTCTGATGGAGGCCCTGTGGTTGGGAGAGAGAAATCTCTACTCAGAGTACCAGTCTATTTCTATTTCAGAATGAATCACTGGCCCTTCGGCTTTCTACCAACTTTAGCATTTGTCTCCATTACTGGCAGATTGGAGATTTGGTGGAAGCAGTAGCTATATGATCTTTGGTAAGCAGAAGCCCATGCCATTGGGCTCGCTCATAGCCTCTATCCCTGCCACCGTGGTGCCAGCACTGGGTGTCCAATGACTCAGGCTGGCCCGTGTCACCTGGCCGAGTCGTTTTGCCTACTTGGCTGTTAGAAGCCTCTTCTGTGGTGGATGCTCTCCAGGAAGCACCACCATGTCATAAGACTGTCATCACACTTGCCGCCCATTGCTCCCCCGTGTCCACCTGCGTGCCTCTACCAGAACTCCCTGCTCTGTATCTTGCAGCCTTTTCTTTCCAGGCTCCTGGAGCCAGATAAGCCATTTGGCACTGCCCATGAGTCCATATATATTCTAACTCTGGCCTAGTTTTCTTTCTACATGAAGTGGATGACCAGGTACTCTGCCCCAATTCTGCCCATTGAGAGGTGTCTCCATCGCTGCTCTTTTGAGGTCACCCTTGATTGAGGCTGTATGCAGCTGCCATCTATGTTCAGCTCACTCAAAGCTATCAGGCCCCCAGACCATGAACTAAGCTGAGATGTTTTCTTCCTCCTTTGGTTATAGAGAATCCCCGACACAGCCATGGGCATGAACTGGTAAGACGCACTGGTGCACACAATGGCGGACTCTGGGCTATGTCTGCATGGTGTGCTGTGCTCTGGTCTTGTCATGTGAAACTGTAGGGTTACCACTTCCATCTTAAGATGGAGTTTTGCTGGCCCGCCTCATCCCATGACATGATAGGTCTGCCCAAACCCAACTCTTTGGGCAGCTGTGGCTGCATGTCCACTTTGGGCCATGGTCAAGGGCTCTGTCTCTACCAGCATGCTGGCAGTCTTGTGATTCTCCTATCATAATTTGCGATAAATTCCACAAGCTCCTTTTTTTCTATTGTAGTATTTTGCTAGGGTTGCTATAACAAAGTCCCACGAATGAAAGGCTTAAACAACTGCAATGTATTTTATTGCAGTTGTG